TGACACCAAACCAGCAACTTTGGAAAAGGAGCAGGCTTACACGCCTAGTGGTTCTCAGACACCAGTCACGGAGGAGCCGACTATCTCATCTGAGCCTCCCATGACAAGTTCCGTGAGTGTAACCTCTTCCGTGCTACCAGACTTGGAAACAACATCCAAAGTTGTTCCTGAACAAGTAATCACCCAATCGATTCTTCAATCCGATGTTATTTCGGAAGCTACGGTATCTTTAGATACACCTGAGAAGCACTCTCCCGTATTGCTAGCTGAGTCATCTTCCGAAATTGTCACAGTGAGCTCTACAGAAACGACTATTGTAGAAGTCACGGAACACATTGTTCTAACGATTGAACCACACGACAAAACCATGGTCTCTGTTCAAGACACTATGCTTCCTACTGACAGTGGTATTCTTGATACTAGTGGCACCAAACAGGAATCAACAGAGTCCGAACTAGACGCGATATTTTCTACTTTAACCCCAGTAGCAGTTACCGACAAGCCTCCAGAGCATGAAACGGAAACGTCTACTTCTGTCACTGTGGAAGAACAGATAACCACCGAGGATTCTCTGCTTGAGTTAGACATATTGACTGAGGTAACTAAGGGGACGTATCACGATCAGTCAATTACTGAATATTCCGATGACACAAAGGCACTCAGTGACATCACACAAAGCGCCAGTGTGGTCGGGTCAACAACTGTGATATCAGCTGATGTACAGCCGTACGAAACCACAGAAGTATTGTTCCCGGAGGACGAGGAAGAGGAAACTGGTGCCGCTATTACCGACCACATCACATCTGACATCTCTGTTACAGTTTTGCCCGACCCTACCTCACACGTTTCGGAAACCACTCTATTCACAGAGGAAACAAGCCAAACTATGACTTCAACAGAAGTCCCAGACACGCTGATGACAACAAACCTAGAATTCGACACTGACCTGGATTCTGGTTCCAGTGCAGTTATCACCGGCGAAGTTTCTACCGGAGCAACCACGTTGCTCCCTGAATTCGAGCCTAAGGCCACTCCAACAGGGGCCAGTGAATCGGAGGCTATTGACTCAGAAGTTACAATCTACGACTGGATTGATCATTCAGTCCTAGACATTGAGATATTTCAAGAGGAGAAGGAACTACCGCCTGATGTCATATATACGCCAGAGATGTCTTCGGAGGTGACCTCTGAAATCGTGACAGAGTCAGCGGAGCCGGAACTCGAAACTTCAACCCCGCAGCGAGAACCAGACACGGAAGAATTGACCAACATGCCCACGATACCTCTAACTGGAACAACAATAGAGGATGATCTTAAATTGTCAACATCTATGATGACTTCAACGGCTGCTCCTCCAGAGACAGACCTGGAAACCACTAAATTCTCAGACGCTTCGGTATATTCACCTAAACCGCCATGGCAACCTATAAAAGGCAATGAGAATATTGACGAGGACATCATGGCTTCAGAAGCCGCGCTGCCAAGACCGGTGGACGTGCCAGCAAAGCCAATCGACACACAGCACATAAGACAATTCAGCTTTAGCAGAGGTCTTACTGTTGGACTGGTTTTGCTGGCTATGCTTTTCATAATCCTCCTGGTTGGCATCAGCTTGTTTGTTATTTGGTTACGCCGTAACCGTGCAAGAACCGCTTCAGAATCAGTAATTGATAAATTCGAAGCACCTCGAGCCTCTGGAGCACAGAATAATGAAGCAAAGGAACGTCTTCGCAAATTCAGCAACTCGGAATTGCCCGAACAGATGCCTGTCAGGACATCCAGATCACCTCGAAGAGAGGCTTATCTAGCAGCAAATCGACTAAAGGTGGAGGGTATAAATCAAAGGAGCTTGATGAGAAGACGTCAACAACATAAAAGAGCTCGACTTCTAGCGCACGACGCACTGATAGAGGAAGCAGCGCCCAGTCCTCCATGTCGCCCTCGATGTATCAGTGATATTGGCCTGGAAACGGATGCAGGAATGAACAAATCTGTGATTTTAGTTGGAGCCTCTGCATGTCACAGGAGTTCCCATGAGTTGGGTCGTTCCAGTAATGCCTACTTACCTCGCTCCTTGAATGTAAATGACCCCGATGTTTTCTTGAATACCTCCGGCTCACTTCTTGAGGAAGATATACAGGTATCAGATGCAAGCGCAACAGACAATGCAACTAAAAACCGCAGTAACAATAACAGCTTACGAAATCCCTATTATTCAAATGGCAAAAGGAATGGATCACATCAGTGTTCTACCACCTGGAAGTATATTGACGAAACGTGACCCCGTGAGTGACTGTGTTTCCGCTAACTGCTGGCAGTTTTGCTTCTGTATTTGTTGCTTGTTCCAAGGTGTGAAGATGTCTTACACCACACAATGGGCAGATTAGATGCGACCAACTGTGCACCAGTTAATATTTTTTGCTATATATTCACTACATGGTTTGCCTGATGATTTTTTCTGCATTCATTATAGCTCGGAAATACTCTACCTGCTTCATTGACCGACACAATAGCGTATAATCAGGTTTGGGGTGGGTTACCAAGGCACGATTGATGAGATTAGTTTTCCACATAGATGTCCAGAGTGCCAGTAAATTCACCTGGACCTAATTTTTGGCTGGCTCTGAAACTACTTGCAGGCTGATATAACTGAGGCATGAATTTGATGCAATGCCGTACAAGTTATTGGACCCCTGAAGTAGTGTTCGCTGAAACTCGTTCTGAAATTCAGATGCCCGTGGAATGATCGTATTACCCCGTTCATATGGTTGAGAGCTGGGTATTTTTAGTGATTTGCTTTAGTACTCCGCCACAGCGAGCACCTCCGAACCCAGAGTACTATCTTTCCATATTCGCCACAAAGTTAAGTATTTGGCTCAGGTTACGAAACGATTTGCTCTTTCCGTCGCCGTGGTTCAAGCAATTGCTCATCATTCTGCCTACTCATGAGTAGGCAAAAAACATTTGGGAAGGAAAATCAGCAAACCGAAGGTTCAGTGATTTGCTTGGTTAATCCATGACCTGATTACACAACGAAACCACTGAGCTGGGAAACAGGGCATAGAGAAACTAAGCCGATGGAAGCAAATTCAAACCATAAATGAAGTTATTACCAGCTTATCTTGACGTTTAATTTGGACTCCTCGCCGTGTAATGTTTTGTCTCCAAAGCACGCGATCTCATCTATCACGAGGAAATTAAAGGTGTTGTACAAAGGAATGGAAGGAAATTCTGCACGTCGTTGGGTCAAAAAGCACAATTTATTCAGCGAGTTGGCACAGTTATGAGATTCTGCAGTTAACAGCTGGTTAATTTCCAGTTGGCTGCGGTCTTAGCGGGAGTTCGCTCAAGGAAGCAAAGGCCGTTAGGATTCGCTGGTTTCACCCTCCATGAGGACTTACTCTCGAGCTAAATATCCAAGCGCATAAGGTCAATGAGGTCCACGTTTATTCCTGTTGTGATAGATAAATTATCTCCTTTTTTGCCATACTACAGAACGTAATACCTTGCATAAAGGCTTGGAGCGTTAATGAGTTACAACACTCTCCACTCAATACTATCGATTTTTCGGTTTGTCGCAACATTTCATGACAACAAGACAAAGCAGACTAAGCATCATATTACAGCGTTCTCTCTTCTCTAGGAATGTTTTTAACAATAGTTGGTGGAATATCATAAACGAAAGATTCAGTTGAGTCTCTCGTGAAAACCAAACGGATTTGAAAATGAGTGTACCTCTCGAAAACAGTCCAATTTGGGTTCAAGTAGAACATACGGTTGACGGAAACTCGAAGACCGCGCCTACCTGATGAGCCCCAAGAAGAGCAAAACCGATCTTGAGCTGTCGAAGAGTTTTCAGCAACCTTGTGAGTAGTTTTCTTTATGAAAATAGTTAGTCCTCGTTATGCAGCTGACCCCCGTTTTACAAAAAGCTAACTGACAGTGATCGCGACAATGGTGCAAGTTTAGTGTTTGGTAGGAATCGGTACTAAGGTTCTCCATAAATTGAAAGCAAACAATACGAATACCAAGTTTCCCGTTTACATCAGTTTACTGTATGTATTTTCAGAGCATAAAAACAGTGTAGTGCAATCCCGTCAACCTGTGAACTAGTGAAAACTATTCTGTGACGTTGTAGTCAAAAGCCTCGCCGGCCTTTCTCAGGCTTGGGCTGATGTGTTTACCACTGGAATGTGTTCCGCCACCACCACCAGCACCACAGCCAGATAAGGTGCACTCCTGCTTCGAGCCAAGTATCACCCCTCCACTTCTCTTTGTGCATTTGCTCTGCAACGGACTGATGTCTGTCATGAAAGTGTGGTCTTTTGACATGAATCGAGCAATCTGACAAGACCGACGACATCACAGTGGACCATTCATGCTTACTTACGAAAACCTCTGTCAACACATACAATAATAATCACTGGACTAATAGCTATGGTTGTGTGTAATGGCTCTTCTCCGATGACGACATGAGATCATGCTGGTATGTTATCTCAACCATCGCATGCGTTACTCAAGTTGTCCAGGGGGTAGGGTTATGACGGGGGTGCAGGAGTAAAGTGTTTTTCTCACTCAAAAAGTAAGGGAAGATAAGCATACACAGATGACGATACACTGAAAAGAAGAGATGGCAAAAGTGAGGTAAGATTTGACAGGAGGTCAATAGCATCAGCGTGGATCGAGAAAAAACAGGGTGTGTGGTGACTATCACAAACCAAACCTGTTGACCCAGACTGTTGACGAAGATGAGACCGATAGGTTGTTCAACTGATTCTCATCTAATAGCTGCCAAAGCGCGATTCATGGTTGCAGAATTCAGAGAGATTTACACGTTCAGGCAGTGGAAAATAAATCCGAAATTTGATGTCTCAATGTTCTGTGAAAATCAGAGGTAATCAGCTTTTTGTGAACGGAACTTGGTAAGGTATTTAACTAAGCCCCATTGATCAGTGTTCCAGAGGAGGGGGAATTAAGAAGTGACTATCATAGGATGCCTTTACAATTTATTGTCGTGATGACTCCGTTACCCAGGTTGTCCCGCCAAATTTCAGCCCGCTAACAACTAAATTCTATGAAGACCTACCACCCTCCAGCTCACCGGTTAATGTCTATCTGGACAGCAACCAGCTGCTCCGAAGAAACAATTTTGGAAAGAGCTGTAAAGTGCTTCTCGGATTTTCAGCATAGATTGGTTCCACTTACAGGACGAAATCTCCACACTTTTACTTTACCTGCAAAGACTTACATTGGTAGGACAGACACATATCGGAACGCACGAATACATACATTCCGAACTATGCAATCCACCGCATGCCGTCAAGAGAACTGCTATGTTGGAGGTCCGTTCGCAATTCCGCATCCTCAATGGCCAGACATCTGCCAAATGCTGGCCGCCGGCCTGACTCAGAAACTGGTTACGTAATACAAAGACAGGGGAAATGAAGCTCTGCTGATTAGACAACAACAGCCGTGATCGTGCACTAAAAAGGCATTGGAAACAATGACTGAGGGGAGAAGAAGGAGCGTTAGTACATACATCCTCTCTGAGTTCTAGTGATGTGGGTAAAAGGAACACAATGTATCAATGTATTTTACTCAACGAAACGCGCGGGGAAAACAAAATCCCCTTTTTACTTCGGAGACCAGGAATAGGAGAAAAACCTGCGCAGCTTCTTTGTGAGGTCAAGAAAATTCAGACTCTGGATAAAATGAAAAACGTTTTGCGCCCATTAAACACTTTTTTGTTAGTAATGATCCAAAGTTACTAGTTTATGATCAACACCAGAAGAAAGAATCAACAAGTGGTCTACTAGAGAGATCCTGGCAATGGTGCAAGTAGAAATGAGTAAGAAATTAGTCTTACTTTATCAAAAAGCTGGTTTAGTATGCCCGATTAAAAGGATTGCGATAAGTCGCTGTTATTTACACAGGGGGGTTTTGATATGATTTTTTCAGCAAATATGATCATTTGAAACGAATCGTTACAATCTAACAAATAAAAAGATACCTAAATAAATATTCAGAGTTTGGCAGTGAGTTGGAATATCTGTTGCCCGTTTGCGTTAATTTCTTTTTGACTATTAATCGGTTCGCTGAGTTTAGTCTGCGTGCAGGCCAGCTGCCATGCTCGGCGAACAGGTCAATCGATGCCTGATCAATATTCGGGGAGTTCCTTACATTTATGGTGATGGTCCAGTGGCAGAACAACCAAACAAATGGGCAAAAAAGGCTGAATAAGGGGAAAATATGCCAGAGCGATGTGTATATCTGCAATCATTTACAGGGAACAATAACGGTGGATTCCTAGTTTGGATAGAAGAGGATATAGGGTCGTAGGTCGAAGCCCACTAATTTCGATTGTAATAAAATGTCGACTGCTATAAACCTCTGGGATAAAATCTGTTTCGGGTTGGATCATTACCGATGAGCACTACAAACACTACACTGTGAACACATTACACCGAACCCTTCTGCGTAGCACACCAAAATTGCTTGTATGTTCCACGATTAGTAATCAAGACAGAGGCATGCATGCTTGATCGGCACTGTACAAGCTCCTACATTAAATTGCACAATACAGTTACATATTTGCACATCATTCGGTAACTCTCATTCGTCCCAGCAATGTGATGACAACCCTGCAGCTGTAAAACGTCATCGCGGATCAAGAATGACAAACAGCATTTGATCTGTTCTACTTCTTAGTAGTAGAATGTTGGAAACAAAAAAGGCAGCAAGGCCACAGTCGACAGCAGATTGACTAGCTCGTGCACAACAGTTCTTCCTGAAGTGGATGGTTTCACCATTGTCAATGAGTGACTGAAGAACCAACGAATTCGTTTTAGGGGCTATGCAGAGAGGTTACCCTTCACCGACTGATATCAGCTGTTGTGCATACATAGCTAGAACGTGATGTTGTAGCCTACCAAATCCCAGTAGCTGTAAGGAGTGTGATTTTCAATTACTGAATCAAAACAACCAGAATGCGGCTACCCAGCAACTGACCCTCATCCTTAGGGCGCGCGTTACAAGTATCTGTTGAGAAATTCAATCACTGATCGCTGAAACGAATGTCACGCTCAGCTCACATATCCAACCATGCATTACCACGGCAGGCAAAACGGAAACGTCATACAGCAGTGGCGAAAAAATTGTTCTACTGTACGTTAATTAAAAGGACAGCGTGGTACTCAAACCAAATGCAGAGTCAGGTGCCAGGATGAAGGCTTTACGATATCATCTGTGATCTTTTACTCTCCCGACTGGGCAGGCACGTCA